GTGGAATTCCCTGCCTTTAGATATACGGCAGTCAAATTTTCATTATGCTGAATTTATCAAGACAACAGGAACAGAAAATTAACAATACAAGCCTGTTTTTATATAAGGGCAAAGCCTTCCTTCTTTCTGCCACTGGGTAAAGTAAATACTAAGCCACTGACAGTCCTGCCTTAAAGACATAAAACACAGATAACATGTCTCTTTGAAGATGCACGTTATCCTTATACTGGAGTTCATGCTTTTAGACTAAATCATCACTGATGTCAAATTAGCAGTCAACAGCCACACCAACCTGACCAGTGCTTGATTGTTTGTTGTTGTGTTTGTTGTGTCTTGTTGCTTTTCTTCTTTTGTCTCTCCTCTATCCACTCACCCCAACCGGTCGAGGCAGAAGGCCGCCCACCAAGAGCTGGGGTCTGTCGGAGGTTTCTTCCGTTAAAGGGAGTTTTTCCTCCCCACTGTCGCCAAGTGCTTGCTCAAGGGGGATTTGTTGGGTTTTCCCTATGTAATAATACCATTAGGGGGAGCTCACTAACGTTGCTCGGGCTAAGCACTACCACCTCAGTCTTAGCATCATTTAATTTTAAAAGATTTAGAGACATCCAATTCTTCACCTCACCAAAACAAGACAATAGTGGTGTAACCGAGGCTAAGTCCAAACCCCTCAGTGGCAGATACATTTGAACATCATCAGCGTAACAGTGAAATGAAACACTGTACTTTCTAAAAATACTGCCCAGAGGAAAAAGATATAAGGAGAAGAGCAGCGACCCTAACACAGAGCCCTGCGGTACCCCAGACTATCACTGAGGATGAGGATTCAATATCTGCGAGCCCAACAGACATCGTCCTGCCTGACAGATACGACCTAAACCACTCCAGGGCACTGCCCCGGATACCCACTAATTGTCATAATAATATAATATAATGTAGTAATAATAAACATAGAATTGCATTTGTACATTTATGACAACTTTGCCAAAAACTGAAACATGTTGAGCTTCATAAACACAGATGTTAAGGTGGACATGCTGCATTGAAGTGGACACAGTGGTACGGGTGTACCTAATAAAATGGCCCATAAGTGTATGTATGTATGTATGTATGTGTGTCAAAGGTCAGGCACATGGAGACCTGGACTCCACAGACCTATGAAGGCATCCTCTGCTATCTGGCACCAAGGTGTCAGCAGCAGGTCCTCTGAGTCCTGTACGCTGCAAAGCTCCATGGATCCACTTGTTTGTCCAGCTCATCCCACAGGTGATCAGATTCAGATGCCGCTGCCATGATGGGTGGACTTGGTCCCAAAAAGGTGAGGTATGTGTTGTTCACATCTCTGTGCATTGAGGAACTGCAGGTTTGAACCCTTCTGTGTTGGCTTCATCCCCCAGCCTCAGAGGCTGCCTCTTGCTTCAGACCCATCAGCTTCAACAGCTGGCTGTTCACCTGCTGCCTGACGGGTGCCACTGTAACGAGGTCATCAGTGTTACTCACCAGTGGCTGATGTTCTGGCTGATCAGTGTCGGATGTATGAGACATCACCCACACGGCCCCGGTGACACAGTCATGTATGTGCATGTGAGGGTAAAACAAAAGGTGGAGGATTTCGTCTTCGCCTCCTGCTGACATCAGCTGAATATGAAACAAACCAACTCTCTGCTACTGCTGCGTATTAGCACAGGTGTTTCCCTGAGGCGATGCAGTGCTACAGCAGGAGGAGGAGAGAACACACACACACACACACACACACAACCACCTTTTCCCTTTCTTGCATTTCATAGACTGCATAAGTTGGAAATACCCACACTTCACACACTACAACCTGATTAAACACTCTATATCCTTTTGTAATGTCATGTAACTGTTGTCTTGTCTCCCATGTTTGGTACTGTTTTGTTAATGTGTTACTGTATTTAAAAAAAAAAAAAACAAAGATACACAACCACCAGGTCCCTGTACCATTTCCATTTAAGTCGTGGACAGACACCAAACAGCCAGTCCCCAGTGTGTTTGTACTGCTTTTTGTGTCTGAGTGGACACATTTTAGTCCAACACCATTACTGTGAGGACATGTTGGTGGGTCCACACGCCTTTACTGGGCCACTGGGGGGGGTCAGACTATGTTTAGGGGTCAGGTTAGACTCAGGTTTAGGCCTTGAGACCTTGTTGTTTGACTGAAAAAAACTTAGAAAAAATCAGATTTCTAGAAATCTAAGTCCAGTTGATCTAAGTCCAGACGTTTTTTTCAGTTTACTATGAGCTGGATGACTAAGAATCTGCACAGACTTGTTGTTTGACTCTCACTTTGTCCTTCAGACACAATCTTGTCATCTGGTCTGAAGCAGACAGACGGAGACAGACCCACACTTCCTCACCTCCCGCCCCACTTATCATTCTTTGAACAGGTTTGAAGTCATTAGTGCCCCCTGCTGGTTACCATGGTGATGGCTGAAGGCTGAACCTGCGTGGGACC